GGTTATTTTCTTGTACTTGCACTCGAATGTGCAAAACCACTTGGACGGTAGTGAAGAAGCCTTCCAAATGTTTCTTCCCATGTCACTGCCTTATTTTGCAAAGAACTGCAGAGCAGCAGCGGTTGCCATGGTTACCCCCTCCCGGAGATAACATTAACGGACACCAAAACTCTCATGCTGTCTGAGGAATGGTGATATTCGAGAAAAGAGCTGTAACAAGGTCCTCAAACTGCCCCGTTACTGCAGCGCTGACTTGGGAGATCTTCTCGCCTTCGCATCCGCTGTGCGCGACACCGACACTGCTGCAGGGGGTCGTCCATCACAGCACCAAGCAGTTGCCCTAGGAAAGGCATGCTTCCTTCTTCTCACTCTCCCTCTCCAAGCCCCCAGGCTGAATTCCCAGTGCTATTCTGGTTTTCAAACAAGCGTCAACCACACAGCCACCCCTGGAGCAAAATGAGATGGAAGAGGCTTGCTCTGAATCAGACCTCAGGAGTTTCCCTATCCCACAGCTCAGTCCATGGGCCATGTGGTCAGTATGGATGTACCCTCCACATCACTGGGGTCTCCTTGGGACAGTTTCAGATTTCTCCAATTGGCAAGGCATTTTTTTCCTTCCAAACTACAAGTATCTCTTACGCCAATATACGTATGAGCATCACAGCGGTGACAGAATGCTTCGTTACAGGTTTCTGAAATTCTGGCTGCACAGGGTAGAAACTCCCAATCCGGCGCAGGCCAAGCTGGGCAGAGCACTGGAAATGCTGGTGCTCGGGCAGCAGAGTGTCTGTGAGGCACCCGGTTAAATGACGCAGAGGGTAACTCCACAACTGTGCTGAGCTGGGTCCTGGTGCCAAGGTACTTCTGCGACTTTTTAACTGCACTGCAATGTAAGCACAGCCTGTGATTTTCAAAAACTGAAGCTCTATCTTTAAAATTCAACTCCTTGGACAGTAATAAAGATTTTGTCAAGTAAACACACACACATACCTTGCCAATGGTTTGTTTGGTTTTGTGTTTTGGTTTGGTTTGGTTTTTTTTTTTTTTTCTTTATACCTTTGTTTCCTCTGAAGTAGCCAAAAGGGGCTTCTGTTTTGTGAGTTCTAAATAAACCTGCAACTCAGAGTCTTTAAAATTAGGAGAACTTTAAAAAGCTTAGAAACAAAAGAAATGAAACATTTTAGTACTAGGCTGTTGGTTTTAACAGTTCCTGGAAGGAGGATCTGCTGAGAGTATCATAGCAGAGCTTCTGTAGAAATTATTGACCAGTTTATTTCCCACTACAAAAACAGTAGGCACGAAAAGTAAACACCAAGGACAGTGGCCAGTGACCCTTAACAGGTATTTGTAATGGCACTGCCCTAATCTGAGTAACAGACTAATCCAGCCCTCTCTCTCCACTCCTCACAGCCCCTCAGCCAAACCAAACGGCCAAAACCCCAAACCAAGGAATTGAAATAATTCCCATGGTGACTGGAAAGTCCCTTTGCCACTAGGGACTGGTAACTTCTCCTCAGCTGCAGCACAGGCTCTTAGAGACCTTCAAGCTGATGGCTGGCCTGGGGAAATCTTGGCTTGTGGCACCCAAGCCATCATCATCTGTGCTTCTGATGGCAAGGGTGCGTAGCTGTTACACTGTGCATACTGTAGCACTGTTCTTCCTTACAGACTTCAGCAATCAACAGCCTCTGGGGTCTCAGTGTGCTGCAGCACTCCTCCAGCTACCAAAACGAACAGGAATTCTATTCCAGCCCGAACCAGGACAGTTTACCACACAGTTTTTGAACAGATTATTTCCTCCCTCTTCCCAAAATTCATTGCTAAGATTATATATTGAGAAAGAAGTGCAGACCTGGGCACGCTGTTATAAATAAAATCCTGCTCCACCACTGCTCCAGTGGATACTACCACTGGGCACTAAAAGCTATTTCCAGCTTTGGGGGGGATTGTCTTCTCAGGAGCCTTTTTGGGGAGCAGGAGGAACTGCAGCACAGGCTCTCTCACACACTAACAGGCACCAGCAGCTGAGCACCAACCTACACCAGCACGTAGCCCAGCTGGCCGTGGTTTCGAAGGCTTAGTTGGACTTTTGATTGCAAAATTATTTTATTGCCATTGTTTAAGAAGGTCACTCCTGTCAGGATATGGCACTGCCTGTTGGTGTCCTCTGGGACTCATGTAAAAGAGACGCTATGAAACCAAAGCGAAGCAGGAGCCCTCAAGCCTTTCCTGACCTTTACTACTTCTCAGAGTAAGGGAGGCTGCCTGGCAAGCTGGTAGCTGATTATTCTCCAGAATCTTTTTCCAGTATCACGTCGTGATCCTCTTCAGTACTGCAGAGTGCTTTGTATCAATTTTGAGCTGGGTGCAAAGAAATTATATTTTTCTAAACAGGTGGGGTTTATTAAAAAAAATCCTGTAAAACAAAGTATCAGACCTTGCAATGCTTAATTCACTATTTTCTAGCTTCTCTGTCAATATGCAGGCCTTTTTTTCCCTGAGCACTGACACAAAATACATTTGATATAAGCTAAAAGTAACGCACAACTTCAAATCACACTTTGGAACATCCTTTCTATGCTTGGTTGTGCAGAAGCTGATTTATGTTGGAAATATTCAGTGAACTGAAACTTAATTAAAAATTATTTGTCACAAGATGTGCAGTGGCTCAGAAATTATAATTTGGCCAAGTTTGGGAGAAAAAAAAAAACAAACTAATTTCTTCTCAAGCAGTTAAACAATTTTTAATTTTCTCTATTCTATCCTCCTTTTTCAAGTTAATCAAAACCCTAACTCAGGACTACGCAGGCAGTTGGACTGTTGGGTAATAAAGAAGTAACAGCTTCCACTACTTCCCCAACGTTTTTGTTCTTGCTCCTAGAGCAACGGTGTATGACTTTCTAGACACTCAATCCCTGACTGGGCTTCAACAGAAGGCCGCGGTAGTTATACAGTCCCCAGAGTGGACCAAAAACATGACCATTTGCATAAAACTGGCAGGATACAGCTGCAGTTATGCGCATGGATGGGCAGGATGAGCATAAAATGGTCTCTGATGCTGAAAACAGTGCAACAGAAAATTTAGCAAGGTCCATCTCTTGACATTCTCAATAAAGATACAGGAAAAGACCACCTCCTTCTGCAAGCCGGTGCAAGCCCTACAAACAATTCTGGAGTTCAGCAAGCACATACCATCCACGGAAACAATGAACGTTGGACAACGTTCCATACTCTCACACTTACAGTATGACCAGTTTAGATTTTTTAACTAGCAGTATCTGAAAAGACGTAACTGTGTACCCATTTTCATCATCACTTACAAACTTTTTCAAAAAGTGATTACTGCATGTAGAAATTTAATCTCTAGTGCAACCAAGGTGACGTGCTTTGAGCTTCAGTTCAAAGTAATTTCCTTTTATAACCATCACTGCTTCACAAGCTACGTTACAAAAGCACCAAAACCCAAAACTCAGCGAACTGTCAGATATGTTTCATAATATTAAATACCTTGTTAGTACAACATAATTCGAGTTGGGTTTGTAGGGGTTTGGGGTTTTTTGGTTTTTGAGTGACAAACAATGAACAAGAGAACCAGTAAATGGCATTTGACTTCAATTTAAACTTATCACTATTAAAAGCAGTGAAATACCTACCAATAATCCTTCTCCTTGCTCCAGATACGCCGTCCTTGTGTAGTCCCATCCAACACACCCCTTCCCCCCACACCATTCTCTTTGTTCTACCAGTTTTATCATATCCTTTCACCCTGTTGCTTGGAAAAAGCCTTCAAATTCCATCGAAGTCAACATCCTCACAAGTAATTTCATTCAAATAAGGCAGCTTTCTGCAGAACTATCAGCATAAATAAAAATTCCGCTTAAGGTTTTCTGAATTTTGGAAAAATATAGCTCTCCCTCCTCCTGGTCTAATCACATTTCAAACACGTCCCTCAAGGAATGATTGTTCTGGAACTGCCCACTTCACAGTTTGTCACATTTTTCTCTACAGCATCTGATGTTAAACACTAACAGGGGGAAATGGTGTAACTGAGATCATAAACTGGTTGAGGCAGAAGCCTAACTATAAACCAGGCAGTAATAAACTGCTCTCACACTCACTTCTTCCTAGAGTCTTACAGAAGCAATCTACATTCTCTTTTCACAGCATGGGAGCATTTGGAGCACAAAAATGAAAAATAAGGATAATAAAGAAAAAAAAAAAAAAAGAGAGAAAGGGAGATCTGCACTAACAACAACATGGAATTGTCTGTGGTTAGGAAGAACAAACTGAGCTCCATCTACAACAAAGAATTCATCCCTGAAACAAAATTATACCCGAGAACTGCAAGTCCTGACTAAAACAAACACACAGCAGCAGACTCTTCTCCCATGCCTTCACCTTCTATGAGTGTCTAACTGAGTAACGTCACTTAAGTATTTACCTTTCGATGCTTGGTAACCGGGATGAAAACACGGGTCAGAGCAGACAGTGTGCAACCTTTTATTTTCTAGCTCTATCACAAAAGCACTGTCAGCACAAACCCCACTCCCTGTCTAACATCCCAACAGTGACTACAGACACGAGGGAAACTTCATCAAGGAGACAGACAGAAACACAGCACGCTGTGGCTAACTTCCAACAGATCTTATGGAGGAGTCAAATACCCTCTATATGTGCAACATCATCTGTACTTACGCCTGGCATTGGACCTCAACTTTGAGATGAAGAGAAATCCTAACAAGGCCACGTAGAATTACAATCCATTTTCTTAAATTTCTAAAGGAAAAATCTTAACTGTAGTGTTTTGCCATGCATTTTGAGATGCATCTGTATCTAACATGTTAGGAAATAATCTGTACAGACCACTCAAAGACACAGCTGTTTGCTATATACATTCCACATCAGATCACCAAACACAAAGAGTTGAATGCTCTTGCCCAGAAGGTGCTTGCCTACTCCCAATAAAACACAGAAATTCATCCAACAGTTAGAAACCAATATAACTGTTAAGCAGGTACTCTTTATTAGCAGCACTGGGGATCACTCCACCATGAGTGCTCCAACAGACGCGTAAAATCACAGAGAATATATGCTGCGAGGTTATACATATTCAGTGGATTTCTGAGAACTAATCTACATATACATAAGATTCCCTGGAACTTATTTATACAGTCCGAGCATGCATGATAAAACTAAGGTTAGGGTCTTTTCCCCTTCTGGTGGTTGTTCATAGTCTTCCTCAGAGTGTCCACTGAATGAACTCTGGGTTTCCTTTGGCCATATGTGGTCATGGAGTTAGCTCATCCCTTCTTCAGCCCTGGGGTGCTCCAAACTAATTCTCAGGTACTTATCTTGACACTGGTGTCTTGGGCTCCTGCTATGAGGGGTACTCAGGAAACTTAACAGTTAATGTCTATCTAAATTTTATCAGGAGAGAAATTGCCTGTTTCAAAATATCTTATTACTTCCACCCAGCAGTTGACTAAACTGTGCAAGTGAAACTGAGAAAAGAATACAAGTAGAACATGCTGACCAACTAGGATTCTACTATAAACAAGTTCTTTTACTCTAAGCAAAGGAAAGAGTTCTGGCCTTCTCTCACCAAGACTCCGTGACTGTTTCTCCATCACACTGCTTTCCCTGACAAATTTCTGGGACATTTCATCGTGCCCCCAAGCTGTCCCAGTGAGCACCGCTGTGGCACAGCACACGCCATGAACCGCAAGCAGACATCCCATCTCTGGGATAGCACGCACAGGACACTGCCAAAGAACCACAGCGTGCCAAAGGGTCTCACACAGGGCAGACAGAATTATAAAAGACTAGTTAAAGGCCCCCCACTGTCAAACTGAGTTTTAACACTTCTTTCTGAAAACACACTACCTCCTACAGTTTCCAGAAGCCTTAGGAATTACTAAAATTGGAATGGCCCAAATAAAACAAAAAAATATCTTTCATCTCATTTAGAGTGGAGCCGTGTGCTTTCAACAACACCCCAGAGCCCATTTCCCTTCTTCTTGGGCTGCATAACTTATACTGAACGGTAAACAAAGTATATACTATTCTATACTGAGAGTTTTCTACCTGTGCTTTAAGAAATGGAAAAAAAGAGCTGCAAAGACATGAGGTCCGAGAGTGGTGATGATAAAAGAGTATTTTCACCATTATTTTTAAATAGCTGACTAGATTTCAGGCTGGAAATAGCCCGGAAAGCATGTGGTGAATGGTCCTTACAGCCTGAAACGAACAGCAGAAATTAACACACGTCTACTTTTCATTTTTCCTCAGCCGTTTACCTTTAAAACTCGGCCGCGCCGACCTTGCTCCCACCGCCCGGGCCCAAAGGAGTTTCTCCGGGAAAACCAGAACAAGCGGAGGTGCCGCTCAGGCCCCAGGCCAGCGGCCTCCGGCTGCCCTGCCCGGCGAGGCCCGGCCAGAACGAGAGGCCCCGCCCGGCGAGAACGAGGGGCCCGGCCCGGCCCGGCCCGTGAGGGGCCCCTCAGCCCGCCCGACCCCGGCGCTTGGGGCCTCTCCTGGAGGAGCGAGTGGCGGGGAAGAGAAGGCAAAAATGGCTTTAAAAAAAAAGAGTAAAGTACAGAGCTTTTCAAACTAGGAGGAGATTTAAAAGCATTTGATTTTTCTTTCTCTTCTGGCACTGTAGAAAAGTGCAGTCGTGCTACAGTTCCTGTTTTCAGTTTCTCTCTTGCCCTGGTTTACAAGTGAGAGCTCCAAAGAAAGATGAAAGAGGCTAGCTCTAGCCGAATAAAACACCATCCTAAATCCATGCAGTAAATTACTTAACAAAAACAAGTTTCATGTTTCATTATAGGGTTTTTCAGTAAGCTAGTTGTTACCAAGACTGGGTAAAAATGCAGTCTGGCAAGTTAAAATGTCTTTCTAGATTATAATAAATCATTTTTTGCCTTGATGTGCCTTTCTGTAAGAGGATGAGTGAGAAGTATTGGTATACATCCACCAGCATTCACAAATATGCAAAACCAAGCAAGAAAAGAACCAAACATACTCTGGATGGAGTTGTTACCTTGAGACTTCTCTTACAATAACAATTCTTTGTCAGGTACTGCCCAACCAGCACAAAAACAGAGTACGCCACTTCTCCAAAGAGAACAAAGGTACATCCCATGTACCGGTCTATCACTGACACAAAGCATTTCTGGAGTCGGAGGGACTCTGTGTCTCTGCTCATTTATCAGCATCTAATGACAAGAGATGATTATTTTCTAAGCAGCAGTGTTGTCCCTCAAACAGGGTTTGTTACCTGGTCTATAAAAAGTCAATCTCACACAAAGAGCTGAGATATCAGCGTATTCCATAATTGCACAAAGAGGGGTGTCAGGTACTAATTCCACAAAGCTAACACAACTACCCAAAAGAACTCCAAGGTCCTGATACACTTCAAACTACACAATTACATTGGTTAGGTGCTTATCACTTTATCCCTCATTGGTTAGTAACACGCCTCACGGGCGAGGACGCTGGCCCCACGGGTCCCTCTGCCCTGCCAGGGCAGGCCGAGGAGCCAGCCCTCACACGGCCTGGGCTCGTGGCCACGGCTATGGGGGGAAAGGCGCGGGAGGGCTGGCAGCGAAGCAAACCGCTGCGAGCTCTCCCATCCGCAACCTTGCCGAAGAGGGCTGGGAGAGAAGCAAGTCCTGGGGTGCAGTCAGCGTGGGGTGAGGGCCAGGCAGGGATTGAGGGTGCTGGGAGCACCAGCTAAGGGTGTTCTCCAACCCGGCGTCCGGGCTGGGAGGGGAGCACGGTTCAGTCATCTGGCTGTTTCCGCAGGGAGAGGATGCGTTTTTCATTCCTCCTTGGCCCGCAGGATCCAGGTGCAACCCCCGTTCAGTGCCAGTGAATAGGAGGGGTGTTTTTGGAGGTGGGAGAAGGCTTGTTAGCAGAGGCACAAGGCCAAGAGAGGATGGGGATAGCTTTTTCTTGAAGCTGTGGCTCTGCAATACCTTGCGGAGATTTCAAGGGGTGTAAAGAGAGTCTTAAAAAATAATCTGGCCCATGGAAAGGGACAGGGGGCGATGAGGCAGTGAGCAGAGTTTAAGTGAAGGGTCGCTCCATGCATGGGCCAGTTCCCTGATGAATTAAAAGTGCCAGGACGGGCTGTCCCAGCCAGGTTTTGCCCATCTTCCTGCACTTTCCCAGAGCCTGATCCCCTAACCCTGCTCCTCCAGAGAGGCCTGGGGCACTCCACCCCCCCCTTTTCCCCACTCACCATAAATTGGTGACTACAGTCATGCCGGCTGAACTGGGGGGGCACATGCCCAGCAGAGCAGGCTCCACACCCACACAGCCCGAGCTGGACCCGGGCCCCCTCCTGTTTTGCAGCAGGGCTGAACCGCTTCAGGAATCAGCCCAGCAGAGCCAAAGTCGGCACGAGAACAGCAGCCCCACTGGAGGCTCAACAAAGCAACTGGGAGGCTTAACACGCAGCCTGGGAAGGCCAGAGCCAGCAGATGAACTCAGCTTTTAGAGAGCATCAGTGCCCAGAGCAGCTCCCGAACAACGCCAAGCACAGGGGTGGGGACATGGCTCATTGGGAGCAACGAGTCCTTCCCAGGGCCGGCAGGCAGGCACAGCTCAGGGGGTGTCAGGGCCTGCTGCAGCGCCCGGGGTACCCTGGAAGGAAGCGGTTTTGCACACACAGGTGCACATGCTGGGGAAGGGGGGCCTCTCACACATGTAGAGGGACCTGGGGCCTGGCACAGCCTCACACACACGTGTGCAGTGTGGGGTGTGTGGCTTTGCACACACGTGCACCCGAGGGGGGGAGTGTGTGAGCTCACCTCTTTGCGCACGGCTGTGCTTCCAGGCTGGTGCTTGCACAAGGAGCCATTCTGGAATGAGCAGGGGCTTGCACAAGGGGTGCAATGCAGGGGACACAGGTGTCTGGAATGTCCTCATACCCCCCTGGGGGACATCCCCAAAGGGATGCAGGCAGCCACCTGGGACACCCCCAAGCCCCCACCCATGCAGGCAGCCAGGCATCTTCACCCCCTTAACTAGAGGGGGATATATTGGGCACCTGGACTCCTCTTTGATGTCTCCCAGAACTGTCTAAAAAGTTGTGTGGGAGGAATTCATGTTTGTAGAGATCTGCTGCACTAGACATTTTTCAGTATTTGTGATTACATTTTGTATGGAAGTGTACAGGCCTGCGTGTTAGCATCATTGTATTCAAAAAAGGGTCACTGAATTTCTAATTTAGATTCAAAAATATGGAACAACTGTTTCTTTCACGTTATACAAACCAGATGTGGCCTGAGTTTAAAGCAGAGGTGTTTTTCAAGGTGTCCAGCCTCTTTCCAGTCCACTGATGGCAGCTTCTGCACCGTGTTCCTCAGCTTCTGCAACTCGTTCCCACGTGCTGTTTGAATGCTCGTGCTGGCTCCGGCAAGCGCGTGTGTGTTCCCAGGCAAAGCAAGTGCAGAGCCCCACTCTGGCTGGGGCTCTGAAGCAGTTGCAAACTCCTTCAGCACTACCCTTCCAGCACGAGGCAAAACGTAAACAAGGGTGAGTTTCATTTGCACTTCAGCAGGCCCTTAGTAAGCAGGCTACCAAGGCCACAAAGTTGACCAGCCACTACAAAAATTTCTGCGCTAAGGTTTCATGCACTGAAAGAACAGTTACAGCTGCTCTTGTACAACAGCAAGGAGGAAACCACAGTAAAACTCAGCAATTCCAAAACCTCAAGGAGAACTAACCCACAAAATACTAAGAAAAATATTTCAACATTAGCTTTGATAAACAAGTTTAATAATCCACTACTTTACAGGACAGTTATTTAAAATCTAGGCTTCAAAGGAGAAACATTATGAGACTTAAAAGCCAATTTTCCAAAATCCACACTTAAGATTATAAGACTTCAGCAGACAGGTGTGTTCAGTCTACTGAGTCCTGACCAAGTTCAGAGTTTTTTTGTTTTCAGTGGTTTTGCTAAAAACAAATACTGTACATACCAGAGCAAATCGCTTTAATTTCCAACCGTACTCTGGGGCTGATCACCAACAGTCTGTTTCCAATGCGCATAATGCTCACAGGCAGAGCAAAACACTCATTTCTGTTACTGCACCCTCGTTCCCCAGGTGACTTTTGAGGAAGCACTCTCTCACACTGTCGCCTCCATTCCCAATGTGACATCCAATGAGGCCTTTCTCCTACGCACACTGAAATGGCTCTGAAATAAACCTGGTTTTCCCTACCAAAGAACAAGGCTATTACAAACAGATGCTGGGTGAAAATCCCTACTCAAGAAGCAATCCAGCCCTATTTAGAAGTTCTGGACTGCATATAAATGTGCAGCTTCTTGCTTCCCATGAAGCACAACACAGGACTGCACAGAACTGCCACTCTCCTCAAGACAGACATGACGAGTTCATGTACACCACAAATGAAATAGAAACTTGTTCCCTATTCCCAGTAATAATTTGGGAAATTTAAACCACGTAAGAAAAAAATAGAATTCTATTTATTCAATTTGCTCCTTGGCTTCAGAGAACTTAAAATAGGTGTCAATATAGACACAGCACTTTTCTTCCATGAATGCGAGAGTAAGCCTGCTATGGCCATGCAATTCAGAACTACATTTCATGCCTGCTCCATCATACTAATCCAAGTCAGTCCAAACCTGAACCTCCACAGAAGGAAGAGGAATCCCTGTTTTGGAGAAAATGACAGTTAATAAAGCCCACACCTTGCAAGTTTCATAAGGGAAGAGCAGGTATCTTCACTTCAGTCTTCTCTGTGGGTTTGAAGATGGTGCCCCCTGCTTTGGCACACAGCAGCTGCCAGGAGGCTGAGCTCCATGCTGCTGGCTGCAGGGCCAGGCACTGGAAGGCAGACTACCTTTAACTGCTTGCACCAAAAATTATTTTAAAAGTCATCTATCCTGAGTCCCCAGAATAATTCACTTTAGCAAAAACAAAACTAAGAAAAAGATTCAGAGATGAGGCATAGGACCGTGGGAACAAGCAATTACTTAACAGTCATCAGCGGGTGGGGAAGCCTCCTCTATGGGTACCTCCACGTCCCCCTCTGAAGCCACCCCTCTCACCCCGAAAGTTAGTTCTGTTCCTCTCTCTGCCCCTTTCTCCTCTGCCTGCCGAAGTCCCTCCTCTTCCTCCTCCCCTTGGAGCACCACCTCCCCGGTCAGACTTGGACTTGGGTGGTGGTGACTTGGGCCGAAGTCTCTCAATCTCTTCAGTACAGCCAGTCAGGTGGGAATTTGGAGCTGTGAAGTATGAAGAATACGTTTCTGCATTGAAATTGCTGTTTGTGAGGGTGGGTCCTACGGTCAGCCAACCTAGGGAACAAAACCAGAATCAACCAAAGCAAGAACCACCTTCATGCTTCAAGGCTATTACTGTCTTTTTCCTACTAAATGAACACTCAAGTGATAGAGACAGACACTTATCTACACGTCACCTGTCCTGAACAGAATGAAGAAGTCACCTCCAAGAAAGGCAGAGATGTTAAAAGGTTAAAATTTTAGTTTGATACTTCTAGGGGTTTCTTTTCTTTTTTAAATTACACACGGCTATGGGAACATTCATGCTGTGGTTTCACAAGACCCCTTCCCCCTCCTTCCTATTTGTTCTTACACCGCAACAACGCTTGCCAGCCCCTCTGGGACTAGACTAAACCAGATCAGTAAATTAATCTAATTTTAAAATAATGTCATCCTCCTCCCCTTTTTAAAAGGCATTTAAACTTGAATTAGGTAATTTTGTCTCCAGAAACCAGTCATGACAGGGCAGCCAAGAGCACAGCATGATGGAAGCACATATCTGAAAACACAATACAGTAACAATTCTGTTGAAGCCTACATGATATGAAAATAGAGCTTAAAGACTTAAATTAACCTGTTTGGGCACATTCAGTAGGCACTTCAGCTTCACAACATGAATCAAGGCAGGCAGACATTTAAAACAAGCACATTCCTATTTCCTCATATTATGAGCTGAAGAAGTGGTCAGACCTAAAATGGGGCTCAGACCACTTAAAAAATGTCAGTGGGAATTTAATTTTCTGTTCTATACTAAAGTAATGAAGACAACTGTAGTTCAATGATCTCAACATGCTTACAAGAAAAACAAGAATTAAAAAAAAAAAAAAAAAACCAAAAACAAAACCAAGATCAGTTCTTTAACAGTGTTCTCTTTACTGCGGGAATTTCTGTAACATTCACCTTGCTTCCGGCACATTTAAAAAAACAAACCAAACTTGTGGGCCATTAACAAAGAAGAACTGGCCTGCAACAGCACTGAAGTAATACCTGAAAACACACAGACACGCACACACATAGAGTCTTAAATTCAAAGGCCAGTTAAAGAATAGGAATGGCCAATAGTCACTTGCATGAGCAAGAGAGAAAAAACACCTTGAAATTTATTTAGGTAACTTACTGCTTGCCGCTTATATACTGATATATATCCTATTCCAATTGCAGTAAAAGCATAAGCAGTATTTTTTTTATATATATATATTGTAATTATTATCATTCACATGCAGCAAACTAGGCCACAGATGGACTTGTATACATTTCTCCTCTCATCCAAACTATTAATCTCTATTTAGGGGAAAACAGTGTTACACAAAACTGTTAAACAAAGCTCAATCAAGCACAGCTATAGCACTTGCCCCACTCACCTTCCCCCCACACTTATTTTTGAAAAGGGCATGCTGTTACTGTAAACTGTTCAGACACCAACACTTTCAGTATCCATCAGTATGTGCAGTATGACTACACTATCTGCAATCTGAAGTCTGTTGTCTGTCAGTTCAAGCATTCATGGGTAGTTGAAAGAAGCAGGACTGCTGAATTGTATTTCACATTAGGCTTTAGGGCATAAGTGTCATTTACAACAGATAAAAAAGTCTACAAAGGCATCAAAATAGATTCTTCTAAGTCTGTATTCTCCAGTGAAAGTCCCTTATGACTTCTGCATTATAAACTGAAAGGCCTGACCATCAAAACAAATAAAATGCAGTTACCTTCAATCTGATCCACATACTTCTATGCATTTTTTTTTTTTTATCATGTCAAATGCAGCATGCAGTGTAAGACACTGGGACTTCAGAGACTGGCAAAAGGACCACCACCAAGCTCATAGGGATTTAAAATCAGTTTAGAGAAAGAAATCATGCTTTGGAGAAGTGGAAACACAGGGCACATTGGTTAACAAAACATTTTCTTCTGAAAAAAATTGATAGTTGTCATAGACTGTCCAAACAACACTGTTTTGTGACTGACAGATAGATCTTCACATAAAACAAAAACAACAACAAAAAAGTATCTCCTTAAGATCTACTGTCTGACCTATGTCATATGTCTGGAAGCCTCTTTAGAACACTGATATTAATTTTACAAGCAGAGAATTCTGCTACTTTGTCTTGCACATTATAAAGACATTTTGATTTTTAGAGGTAGTGTGGAGTTTACTTCACTATTAAGTCAAAAATATAAGTTTAATAGGCAGGAAATATTCAGAATATGAATGTAAAAAGACAGAAATCATGCAGTTCAGTACTCCAGTAGAATACTGAATAATTTCAGCATTTACCTTCAATTAGAGATAACATGGAGAAAACAAAAATGTAAACTGTCTGAGCAAGTATTTACTTCTAGAAATGAATATTTAGAAAACAAAACTTAACAGTAAGGAGTGAAACTGTATTGGTGACTTAGTCTTGCTTCCATAGTATTAATAGAAATCATAGCCTAACTTAATATCACCTAGTAGGGTTCTGGATGATGCAACAGAGGCTGAGGATTCACCCAAAGATAGACATTCTTGCTAAGAAAATATGCATGTGAGCTCTTCAGTTCTAGCAAAATTTTCTGCTATTTGATCATGAGAGACAGAACATTAACTAGAGCAGAAGTCACTTTGCTACTGTCACAGTCTTGGGAGAACTGCCAGGTGAAGCCACAATCCCTGTTGCTGAACATTAGGCTGGTTAGTTACCCGAGTGGGAGGGTAGGAAACCTGGGAAATGTCTCCCTCCAGTAGGTTTTCTCACTCCTGACTAGATTTCCACTATGGAGATGTCACCAGGAAAGCTCATCTGGTTTTCTGTGGTATTGTAATCCTATGGTGGGGTAAATGGGGTTACATGCAGAAATACACAGTTCTGCAGCTGCTGCAAGTCCTGGAAGAAGAATTGTGCATTAGGATTACCCATTATTGTCTCATCTTCTATCAAAAGCCCCCATCAAGTGGGCTCAGATAACAGAAGAGAGTTATTAAAGTAAATTAAAATTTAGCTATTTGTCAAAAATAAACATAACGGTTACCTGGTCGAATTGTACTGTCTCTTCCAAAAAGATGAAGACGTCGCCGTCCAAGGCAGAAATGCTCAATGATGTGAAAAATCTCTACAGGTTTCTCTATGTTGCCAATTTCAGGCTCTTCTGTGATGATCAGGTCAATATCAACATTAGCATGGATGAAGTCACCGTCTGTACTGCGCCGCACAGTTCCTTTAATGCCCATGAGGCAGTGCTCCTACGCACACGGGACACAGAAGAGTACCTGTCACATGCCGCACATACTGCTACAGCACAGAGGTCCATGGTCTGGGCACAACGGAGAGAAAAGGAAATTCCAGGCAGAGTAGATCCTACTCTTATACTGAGAAAAGCTTGAAGCATGAACTAGAAGAACAGAACAAGCTGGAGCTACCAAGAGCCTTTTGATAAGAAAGCAGAGAGCAGTTTAAGCTATCTGCCTTGATGAACTACACTACAAAGTGGTAAAACTCAAACAGAGGCTATGATATTTGGACTTCTTCAATTACAGCAAAATGTAGAGCTTTAAGTTGAAAAGGCTGAGAATCACCCCAAGGAAATAAAGTACAAGGTGACAGCAAGACTAAAGGAATAGTTGTTCACAATGATCAATACTTCTATCAGCATTCCAGTCCTAACTTTATTCCTACAAATAATTTTCAAAGTTCTCTGTCATAAAACAGCTAGTCAGTGAAAATAAGATGTACTTTTTCATATTGTACCTCTGTTACAAAAGTAGCCTTCACACTCAGATTCTTTTCTAGAAGATATCACTGCATAAAAAGAAGTAAAACCACTATCAAAACTGTCAGTGCACTCTCAGTCAACTCCATCAGCATTAAAGATGTTCTTTACCTGTAATATGCATTGCTTTCCTTTCCTCTAAAACGTTGTAGATCAATTTAAGTGACTAGTAAGTAGACTCTATGAATGAGGAATCACTGTAATTGGTACAGGATGAGAAGAGGCTTCTACATATTCATTTCAGAGCTCTTTTTCTGGGAATATTAAGATGAGTGATTTTCCGCAGTATCATAAAACACTGATTCACTAAACACCACTAGATGGCTCTAAAAAAAGTTGCAGACAAAAGTATGTAATAATTTCCATATTTCTGGTAAGGGTTTTAAGAGTTAGTGAATAAATACGAAAGGCAGAATAGGTGACCCATCAAATCTATGCAGTTAGTCAACTGCACCCAAGCTACAAGGTCTTTGGACCTCAAATTTAATTACATAAAAAAGCAGAATACTGCTAAGCAAATTACCCATCAAGCAAAGCCTCGTAAATTTAGTCTTTAGAAGAACTATCCAAAACATTTTATTTTCGTAACACCTGGAATGTCATTCATTAGTACCTTAGATTCTGTAACAGGTGGCACAGCATAAAGTGTCCATCTAGAGATGCCTAAACCGTAATAGGATAGCATTTGCTTTTGTAATCATCAGTAAAGGCATCTTGCACAACAGACTATTAATTTAGGGAGAATAAACTAGCTCAGTTTTCAGTGTTTATTATAGTAACCTCAGCCTCACCCTTGCTCAATACACCGAGAAATTCTCCAATACCAGAGACTATTCTTCTCAGTTAAAGACATGAAGTCCCCCCAAAATCCTCCCATGTTAGTATTAACCTCTCCCTGATGAGCGAGGTGCATGTTTGCAATACTATATGCAATAAACATACAATATTAATAATTGTAAATATTTATAACTAACACAACACACTTTCAAACAAACTTCAGATTAATGTAAATGTAAGTCAAAGAAAGATTGCAGATATCTTAAAGGGAATTTTATACTCCTAAAAAATGGCAAATCAGAGACAGCACTGAATATGTTTAATACTAACACATGATTAATGAATGTGGAATAAGTCCTGAGGTTAATGACACTTTAAATTATTGTCAGCCAACCCTCTGTATTCAGGATAACTGCCACAGTTACACCCACATACACACAAAACAATTCTTTTATTAATCGTATCTACATTATTCTAAGTTTACAACTTAAAATAGAATACTTCTTTTCTCTGCACCTTCTTCAATACATGTCCTCCACAAGACATCCCCAAGAAGTGTTTTAATTTAAAGCAGGCTGACCGATTCTGTCACTTGTGCATTACAGTCATCTTCAGAAAGTCAGGAGCTGCTGACTGAGCCACAGTCCCTAACAGCCCTCTGTCCGATTCAAGCTCTGGGCAGGTACCTGCACGTGTATACTCAGAACCATTAGCCAGTCTTCCAGAGGTATTTTTTATGACTAGATCCATTTATAATCTACAGTTTTAAAGACTTCTGACATTAGATTTAGTCAAATTCTACAAAGTTTAGTTTCATTCAAAAGGTATTCCTTCACCAGCAATTTTTCTCCTCTAATCTGGAAAGGAGCTTGTGTTTTACACAAAAGGTATTGCCAATAGACTAACTGCTGATTTACCATTCACCCATAACCAAAACAACCTGGAAGTCAAAAACACTGCAAGGAACAGTAACATTTTCTACTCAGTTTCCATCTTCCCTCTCACGATTTCATTCTTGTTCCATCGATCTATGAAACTTCCTCAGCCACCTGCATTTTAACAAGGCTCAAATGTGCATCACATTTAGAGGGCTACAACAGAAATTTACCATGCACTGTTGAATGTATATGAAACTTCTGTTCCTCTCACTGACTAAAGTCAAAAAGGGGACAGAAGTTCATCATTCATCCTATCAGTATGTTCATTTCCATACAATATGCTTTGCAGTCCTCATGTCCACTTTCCTGAAAGCATGTCACCAACTGCCATGGAGCATCAGCATCAAGAGACAGGATGGGAACAGAGAAGAAATTGAGCCAAACCTTTACCTTGGTTCTTTGGAAAACAGCCTTAGGGTCCAGAGTCTTCGTCTTTCCAGGATTGTTCTTATTTGTTTTAATCCAACAAATGTCCTCGCATCTTCTGTAACCCCATTTGCGTAGACACTAAATGTTACAGACAGATAAAACAGTTTGCATGATACCAAAAACTTAAGTAACTTAAGTAAACTTAGGTAGCTTAAACTGAACACTCAGATAGGTATCTGACTTGTCTTAACGCATAGCTGGAAGAGAAATTTGTCACAGATTAAACAGTTTACTGGTATGACTGTACTGTTTTGTCAAGCTGCAAAAAATAAACAAACAAAAAAGGGCTTATATGCACATTGGCTTGTCTATGTATTATGTATCAACTTTGGTGCTTTGTTTTGTTTTTGTTTTTTTGTTTGTTTGTTTGTTTGTTTTTTGTTTTTGGTTTTTTTTAATCTAACCACTGCACAGATCCCTGATGGAACTCTGCACTCATTTTTACCTAGTGACACTTATATTTAATCAAAATCAGTCTGAGCAGCATAGTGATCAGCTGCCTTAGCCCTGTCTCCACCAATACCTGCACTCTGGTAGTTTTTCACATCAGTGTAAAATTCTATAAACGGGAAGACAAACAGCCAAAAGCCTCTGCTACCATTTTGTGTTTTTTCCTATATCTGTAAAACAAACAAACAAACAGACAGCAAACCAACCTTACATGACTTTTTAATCCTCAACTCATGCAACTGTAGTCTTGGAAAGGGAAGAAATTTGGCCTGACAGACTCAAGCTCATGTGGCTATTGCTCTGTTCAACAACTGTGCAGCTACTATCAATGTGTCTGTAACCAAAAGCAATCTATCCGAAATAGCTACTTTAAGCATCCTCAGAACGAAAAGCAGATAAAGCAAACAGATTAATAACCACATATTCTTTAACAAATGCCATACTGTTTTAATAGAAAGCACTGCTCAAACCAAGCGAAGAGTGTTTCAACACAGTACAAGCCATCTGGAAATTCTTATTCTGCCATCCCCAACACAAGCAGCGCTACTCTGGCATGCAGAAAGATTACTCAAACTCCAAGATCTTACAGGGACATAACTTCATAGAGCTCACTAAGAGTAAACCTACTTAAGCTCCAGGTGTTTTCGGAAAACAAGCAGTGCTACACACACAATTTTATCTGACTTTAAGAAATAGTAGCACCTTTATATTAGCATTAGTATTTCTGGCAGAAAACTATTAAGACTTCTGTTTAAAAAAAAATGTTGTAAATGCCCTCAACATGGCAACCTGTTCCTATGGCAACATGCATACATCAAAAACAGTACAACAAGACAGCAGTACAACTCTCTAGAACCTATAGGATTATGCTTTCTCACAGAGACACAGCGACCGATCTAGAAAATAATAGTATCTCAACAGTTAATGCCAGACACATTTAAATTTATTTAACCCACTTAAAATTATATATCCTCTACCACAGTAACAAACTGTCTCTCAGCAGTAACAGTTGAGAATTCAATGCAGAAAAAGTCAATGATAAAAATAAACTCTTAAGCCTGTCCTTGATAAATTGAATTAAAACATCATCTTACCACTCGGCCAAGATCCAGACCCTCGCCTGAACCACACCATAGAAACACAAATGACCTTGGGGCTGCAATTTCTTCAATTTCCAACTTCATGATCTATTAATAATAGTAATAAAAGTGTTTCTAAATTAAACCACAAATTATATCAGGAAGAATACGTAAGTGTTGAAGCATTATCACAGAAACCATTGGGAAGCACTTTTATTAAAGATGTCTGTGAACGGTATACAGACTAACATCCTCTTAAAATTGTTTTCCAGAAGATATGTTGTAAGTTACCTTATTAGTACCCCGATGCATGTTTTTAACGTAGCCAATGATGAGCTTAATTATTCTTTTTAACAGAAATTCTATCTGTATCAAAAATTCTAGACTTAAAAGACAAATACAACCCACATGATTTCCGCCCCGCCCCCCACCTCTGCTTCATTTTATCCTTCCCTAGGTAGCAAAGAGATTTAACAAGAAAACAGTAGTGCTCTATTTCTTTTTAGCCCTGGAATTACTTACATGAAAATTGTGAAGACACATTATATTAAAAAAAAAAAAAAAAAAGGCAAAACAAAAAACAGCTTCATTCCTATTACTATATAAGAAAGACATTCCATTTCCACTTTCAAGAAAAAAGCAGCAAGAGTTTATCAGGACAGTGGTTCAACAGTGACAAATGAGTAACATTCAGGATGAAGTAACTTCAGACGCAGAGCATCTGCTACTCATTACAAGTTGAAAAGATTCATCTGTAACTTGCTAACACATCAAATCAAGCTTCATTCAGTGCCACTGGGAATAAAAATCAAGCAGCAGAAGCCATTCTAAGTGGATATAACTCCCAACTAAAGGGTAACTCCTACCTCTGACACTTCCAGTTTTTCTGTTAGGACAGAATATTTTTTTTTCCTCAAGCAACACTGCCAGGCATTGTTTTTGCCCGATGTTAGCCATTCTGGCTAACAGAAGCTGCCTATTCCTTGACATGTAGTTACTTAGTCTCTTATCACAGGCATGAATGCCTTTGTTTTCAAATTCATTCCTTAAAGGTGGATTAAATTTTATTTTGTTCTCATGATCCTTTAGTTTGACTGATTCACTTCTGAAGTCATGCATGTGCAGGTTTCAGCCTAAAGACAAACTGAATCTAGTTTAAAGTAACACCACCATCCCCCTCCCCCAAACTGCATAGAACACAGATAAGGAAATCTCAGCAACAACTGATTAAATCTACTGGTTCACTCATGTTACAACAAATTTGCTGCTAATGCAGACATAGTTCTGCATACCTTTCAAATAGGGTCTCTAAATATTTATTAATTGCAGGCTCCCACCCATATGCCTGAACCTAAGAATTCCTGACATGGTTGTACTATTCCTCCCTACTACAGATTGTCTGTTTTGTTGTGAGGGTGGACTTGTTTGGGGTTTTTTTTTGTGGTTCTTTTTTTTTTTTTTTTTCCCCTCAGGTTTGTTGTTGTGTTTTTTTTAAATAAGTACAGCGTGGACACAGAGTAGAGCTAATTTAACATTGTTTGACATCAACATTACAAGTTCTCTTCAATGCCCAAGCAAAGGAATTCTCCAGTTCAATCTTGAAGGTAGGGACAACTTGGCAGCAGGCTTTGTGTCATTAAATTGTTATGCCTGAAGACATCACTTCACAGCCTCCAGCCCTCACCTTGCTTTTCCAGACCTGACTTTATTGAAAGGGGAAAGATACAGAATGGAGCTACTTATCAATACACCTTGAATGTAGCATCCACATGCATTACTACAGAAAGAACTTGAAAATCTTCTCTCTAACTCAATTCTCCAAATGTTTATTAGAGCACAATAAAACAAGACCAACAACAGTAATCTTGAAAAAGATCACATCTTGCACCTTAAGATTTCTCCTTGTTCCCAAAAAGCAGTCAGAAATCATTGTGGCTTCAAAAAAAACCTTTGACGTGACTAAACAGTAAGGTAATACATCAATACAAGAAAAAAATTCCACAAATAAGGTTTATTTATTTTGTTAGGCTACTCAGGATTGTAACTGGTTTGATTGTTAAAATTTCCTACTCGGTCAATACTTTGGAGAAAGGAGGTATGTCAGTGAAGCACACTCATCTACTTTTTTGATTAGAAGACCAGTATGTGAAGAAGCATACCTTAAAAAGCTCTTTGAGAATTGAAAGAAACAAAGAAATATTTACAATGGATATTCTGAATTTCAACAGCAAAAACCAAACAAAAGAAAACTCATGGAATTTGAGGGTAGGGGAAACCCCCACTATTATTAGATTTAAGTTTTCAACCAGGTTCAGAGAGAACAAAAAGGTGTATTTAATTCTTTAAACTCCTCAAAAAAGTCTTTTAATACAAATAGTGTAGGCATGCATACAGTATCAAACTTAATTTTTATAAGAATCTAGACTTCTCTTTAAAAAAAACCCCAACCAACCAAAAAAACAAAACCACGCCCAAAATATATCTCATTTTTCCTTAAAACACATCTCTAAAACATTTTGATACCAAATTAAATCCTTAAACTGTTTGCTTAAATACACGTATGAAATCCTTTTCACAGCAATAAAAATACTTACATCATCCCAGGTCCAGCATTTTTCATTGGCAGTAATGCCAGTCTCTCGGTAATACTCTTCCAGTGGTGGTTCCAGGAGAATCACATCAAATTTGGACTTCAGCTCCCTAATATCAAAAGCTTCCAAGTCTGCTTGTAAGTACCTGTTTAAACAAAAGATGATAGATTGCTTGGAGAAGCTATAACAGTGGTTTGAAAATTACACTCCAGACAGCACTTCTGTGCAGCCAGTTAAGAGTAGGGTATCCTGTGTAGCTCATATAGTTCAAATGCACTAAATCCAGAGGAGACACATAATACCTTCTCACTTAACCTAGGCTGGATGCTGTTGCATTAGATTTTTTTAAAAAGGAATCTTTCTCTCAATAAACCGTTTTCAGTATTCTAATTTAGCCAGCAGGAAACAAACGCCCACACAGACTGCACAACAATATCTATTACAGAATAAGTGAACCTTCTGTACATCCATGGACCATACAGGAGAAAACATCAACATTTAAGAAGCAAACACTCATTGCTTGCTTAACAAACTTCTTTATTGCTTCACTTTGGGAAATGGCATATTTTTAGAACTGCCATGTATTATATGTTACATTCAGAAGATTATGAATACTGGAAATATGGTTACTTTTCATATATTGGAAATGTATTTCCCTATCCCTATAACAAAGCATAATTCCCACACACATTGACTTTACTAAATACATACTCTAAAGCACTCTTACAACTGGCCTCCACACCTGCCCACCACTCGCTGCTGCATCACTATCTAAAAAATTACACTGCCCTCCCCTCAATACCTTTAACCTTAAAGCTGATAAGCAGACCACCACCTCCCTCTTCCTAAGAAAGCATCGGAAAGAGATCATTATTCCAAAAGTGTATTTGGTGTTATCAGAAGGCAGCATCTGATTACTACTACCCTTTTGTGCTTTAAGGCGAAGAATGCCAAAATGCATCCAAGTTCAAAATAGCAAGTTGAGTTTTCAGTTTGTATCTATTTTTCAGACAACTATTTCAGAGTTTTTCATATGACTATCATGAAATAATGCTATTTTACTCAGTACAGATTAGGACTACAGTACATTAAAAGCATTAGGTTTGTATTCAGATAGGTTCCAATTCCTGGGAGTACTATTCTGCACGCTCATCCTGTGTCTAATGTTCAGCAAAAATTCAGAGGAAATTCACACTTAATAGAACAAAACACTTCCAGCCAGCCTAAGCTTTTTTTGGTCTTAAACTACAAAGTAACATCTGACTAATGGCTACTAAGATAATAGCTGAATATTATACAAAAAAAAGCTGTTCCAAGAACAACGAACGTTATATTAAGAGGCTGATCTTTTTAAAGCTTTTCTTGCTATGTAAACTGCATGATGTCATGAGATTCATGATCATATGATGTTCTTTTAGTTCCCAAATTAAAGCCTGCAGTCCAATAAGTTAACAGTTCGGCCTTAAAAACCAAAGCTTTAAGTACTATAAATAATCACACACTGGAAAGAAGATCTAGTTTATATACTATATTAAAACATATAGATTAAACTAACAAAACCAAACTGATTTTATTATTCTGAAGTTTCAATGGATTAATTTGTATATACAAACAAAAATAGAAAATGTAAATTCTGAGCAGGTGCTAGAGATAGCAACTTGCAAAGCAGACAACTAACTTCAAACAGATCTGGAGAAGAAAGACATTTTCCACAAGAACACTTACATGGGAGGAGTGTTAGATTTAGATATCAGCTCATCCTTCAATCTGATGAGCTCTCTAAGTTTTGGGTATTCTTCAAACCTATCTGCTAAGCCTAAGGAAAAGAAAACATGAAGTTAACAACTACTCAGAGAGTAAATTTCTATCAATTAATCATTGTCCAGTATTCTCAATAGGTCCAAATGTCAATACTTAGCCTCATTTAATTTTTGTTAGAACAAACCAAACCCTTCACAGCAGTTTTTTGTTCAGTGCTTCACAAGTCTCCTGCCTTCACTCAGTCAGTTACAGCTCTTACAGAATGTAGTGTCTACGCTCTATGTTCTCTAGAGCACTACAGGGATCAGGAGTTCACAACTCCTTTTATCAGAAGGAAACAACCTTCCATTTAAACTAAAAGCGCCAGAATGACTGAAGAAAGTTATTTTGTTACCCCCCTTCCCCCATCCTTAAGTTTATATTAAAATCTAATTAACATTCATTTACAGAATACTCTCATTTAACCTTTGAAGACTATTTCTCAGGCAGCAACTGGGGTGTGGCTGATTCCCTCAGGGAATCCAACATTGAGATTTGGTACTCTGGTGTCAGTCGTGAAGATCTAATACATGTATATTTATTTATTGGGTTCTTAGACTTAGCTTTATGTTAATTATCAAACCTTTTATATGTACAGAATGTAAAAGGGAAAACCCTAATTAGGCTTTCTGCAGCCAACTTTTTAAAAAAAGAAAAAAAGCCAAGCAAACTTTCCAGCATATTACATTCCCCCTTCACAAAAGTAAGCAGTGATAGTATGGTTTTGGTTATTGCTAGCAGTAGGCTCAGGACAAACCAAAAAGGTACCTTCCCCTCCTCCCAAGCAGTATCAGTTCAACTTTAGTAGGAGTTACTTACTAAGCTTCATGTTCACTTAAGTTCACGACTTTAAATGCTACTAATCCATGGGGGACAAAAAACCCACAAAACCCACAACCCTTCATCTCTGTTTTAATTCAAACTTCTGAACTCCCGACCCTAGCATCGCACTGGTAAAAGCAAAATTCTTAGCATCTAGCCTTTTTATCTCTTATTGTAGGTTCATAAGACACCTGAAAGCTACTTTCATTCTTTTCCTTAAATATGTAACATCTTAACACCAACAGTGTGTTCTGAATTCCACTGCTGTGCTGCTTCCAGCCAGTGCAAATGACATACTCCTGACCAGCAGGAACAGAAGCCAGTTAGCAGCAGCTAAGCAATAGATATGAAAGAATTTTCAATCCAGATGACCTCAGCTTTTTTAAAAAAAATAACAAAACCAACAAATTAAAACAAACCCCGCAGGTCTCTCCCAACAGCAACATCAAAAAGATACAACTGGGTCTTCTGGAGCCACTACTTCCCTACAGCTTTTTCTAGGGTCATGTCCAGTTATAAAGTAGCACCTAAGCAAAGTTTCAATTGTCACGTACAAAATGTACGCTACCCAATATGACACTGGACATATCTCATAAAGGGTCTAGACTAACTGCTGCTGACACACTCATTTCCATATTAACCCTCGTACAGCAATTTCTCCTGTCACTTCCCAATTCCTTATGCAGCAGAGCAGTCAAAGTAAATACATGCTGCTATTTCTTTATAGTCATCTTATCTCAAAGACCGGTGTATGACTATTTCAAATACATAACGGTGAAGCCCAGATGCTTTTCAGATAAAGACATAACTGAATCAAAACATATAATCTTTCATACTAAATATCCAGATGTGTTTCACAGAAGCATTTGTGAAATATAGAGAAGACAGAAACTAACTGCCTTCACAGGCAAACAAAACCTCTCTGATCTGGTGTCTATAAACATAACACACTTGCCCTGTCAATCTTTAACTTGATGAAGTAGAGAGAATTGTTGCAGAAAACGGCAGAGGGAGGTATCCCACTTTTTTTAAAAAACAAGTAATTATCAGGCACCTGTTCTGGGAAATGGGACCAAATCGTACCTTAGCTTTAGAAAGCTTAAATTCAGGCCTAATAAAGTAAGATTTCAGTAACAAATTCAGTGATGGCTGGATGAACGCAAACTTAGAAAATAACACCCTCTTAATGCAGTAAAATGTTGGGTCTTCTAATGAGTTGTCAGCAGTTACATAATTTAGCTGGTAAATATTACCCATATTCCGTACTGACTTATATTTAAGTATTTTCCACACTTTACATGCTACATGCATACTTGAAGGTAATACAGTTCAGCTGTTTCCTGGACTGTAAGTCAGTTACTGAAAATTCTGAAGGTTTCAAGATTTGGTCACCAGACTCATATACTTTCTGGAAGCAAAAGAGTTTAGTTTTGAAAAAAATCTTCCTAGTTAAATACTTTCAAATGAAATCAATAAGAAGAGCCTTCGTAATAATCACCTCCTAACTGATTAAAAGTAAAATAATTCATATAAATTTATACACTGATATGCATGCACACAGAGAGACAAAACTATGAAGTGTACGTGTATCTACATTTCCTGGTAACTGTAAGGAATTATAAAAGGAGAAGAAAAAGAAGTGCTGTTGACTAAAATGAGTTATCTTCAGTTACTGACTTAGCCATACCAACATCTCTGATGAAGTTCTGGGGTCTGTGTCCTGTATCCACAAAGTGTTGGCAGTAATCATTGTGGGGATTTAAGCTCTGAGTACCCTGGAGGAGAACAAGAGGGAGTTCAGGAAGAGCAACAGGGAGATAACTGGACATATGCACATGCACTACATGTATTAGTCTGATAAATGAGAAAGTAACAGATTTTTTTATTTTTTTGTTTTCATTTTCAACATGCCTTTATAAGCAATGCTAGTCAAGACAGTCATTGAGTTTTTAGTTCCAAATCAGGACCACCAATACTGTGGCTTATTGTAAGCTGACCCAGATTTTTGCTCAGATCGATGTAAACACTAGTTACAGTCGCATCTTTCACAGAAAGCTTCCATGCCTGTGAATTCCAGTCAATTACTTCCGCCTTTAAAGCTGTATTTCAAATACCATCAATTGCAGAAATAGTTTAACACAACTATGCCAGCTTTGACCAGATTTCTAATTGCAGAAGCAGCTCACCTTAAGAAAGGTACTGGAATCTTTATAAATCTCTTCTTCATAGGGCAGGTTCTCTTCATCTTGCTGCAGCTCTACTTCATCCTTGGAAATAAAGCAGATATTACAAGTACGCAAGATCATGCTGTTTCTTTCCTCATTATGGTTCTGCTTCTTAATGGAAGAAGTGGGCTGTCTACAAACAAAAGTCTCCTAAACCAGCAGATCATGAATGGTTCCAACTCTAGTTTTGGAGGGGAAAAAATTACCTCTTCCCAAAAAGGTCTGCCTCTCATTAATGAGGAGAGTGTTACTGGGAAAGGCCTCTGAAAGAAGAATAAGAAACTCTTCATTTCTAGACCTTGACAGTGTAGGCAGTGCTTTATAAAGTACAGAACTTTTCATTTCTGTCTCCCCAAAATTCTACTCCTTAGACTAAAGTAAATTATATATTTTGTTGAAGTTCTGTAGTAGAACCTTTGAGTATTTATATCCACTTAACCGCCTCTTATGTTCCAACCTTAGCAGCAGAAATCATCTTCTCTATATAAATCTGTTAAAGTCCACATTTTTCAGAAACAGCACATGGTACAAACCAGTATTTAATTTGGACTGTCCTTAAAAATAACTTTAGAATTCCCATTTTGTAGTCTCAAAATTTACAGAAAACAGTAATCGTATTGCATTTTTTTCCCCCAGTTAGTCTGTCACCAACTATTGATTCACCAGATTTCTGGAATTCAGAGATCTGTCACACTGACATACTCTGAACATCCAACATATAACTCAGAGAGAACAGAAACAAATGAGAGACTCACTTCTTCATGTCACCCTCTCTTCCCATTGATCCTGAAACAACCTAGCAATACATTATATATAAATAAAACTGAAGAACCACTAAATAATATAATCTACTATATTTTAGTAGGATGCATATGCTCTTTCATACATTACTAATTACAACAGAAATCTTAATCATTTAATATAGTGCTTCATGTGAGGAGAAAAGCAGTCTCAAGGCCAAAATATTAAAAAAAAGACAGATATCTTAACACACTGAAATAAAAGGAAGGATGGAGGACCAGATTTCTCACAGAAAATAACTCAATTTCTCCCTCCCAACACACATTTTAAATCAAAAGATGCAGAGAAGAAGCTATTATTACTGCTGCATTTGCTCTATGCTATAAGCTGCATGAGTGCAGAATGAAAAATTAAGTGTTCTTCCTATTCTTTAGCTGTTGAAATCTTAAAATAAGATGTGTTCTCTCCAAATTGGAGCTTTGAAACAAGTTCTGAAATGCCTGCTGTGATTAACAGGTCACAGATTCCCCCTTTCCATTATTCAAGCAAAGAACTTACAGAGAAAGTCTTTTTGTTAGTTTGTTTGTTCAACCAGAACAAAAAGAGAAAGATTACTATCAGAAACAGCAACAGTGTTTATGAGGAAAATGAATGAACAGCAGACAAGCAGCAGCAAATGTTACTCAGGCAAAAAAAAAGCTGAAAGCTCAAATTTTACTAAAAACTGCTTATGCCATCATAAGCTTACACCTGTTTTCCCCTCTTCCATCTTCCTCTAATGATAAGCACTTGTTAGATACCTACTTCTGAGTCACCCCAGTTCTCTTTATGCCTTCATAAGTGATTTAAAAAAAAAAAAAAGCGTCTTGTGGCCACAAACAAAAAGCCCACACCACTAACTTTCAAAGAGAAAAGGACACAGGCAAAGCAGAGATGGAATGAAATTATCAGTAATACAAGACACTAGGTTCTTGTACATTAATCATCTTGGTTCTCTAAATCTGGTATATTGTTAACGAGTTACAGAAACAAAAACTACCCCCAATATTCAAGCATATAGTTTTTTCAAATGACTAGAGATACATTAAGCGGTTATCATGACTCAACCAAGTAAAACTTTTTTCAGCCTCCAGGACAATGGAATAGGAGCACTCCAAGTTCACAGGCTACTGCTTGCAGAAACAAAGTAAAACAGGGCTGTATCAAATTAGGATGGCAGACAGCAGGTTTGAACCCCAGGTACATTTGTACTTCATACAAAGCTAAAAGTTCGGAACTCTTTACCACAAAACACTGCTGATACCAGACATTTATACAGGTTCTAACAATAGAGAAAATTTAACTGCGAAAGGGGAGAGATGGAGCAACAACCACAACTCTCAGAGGGCTATGAAAAGCCTGGGAGTGGCATCAGATGATCCCATTATCTGCCACCTCCAAATACAGGCTGGAGAGCTCAACTAACCCTAGCACAACCATTACAGTCCCACAAAAACAAGAGTATTGTAGAAGCTCTTTAGAACCACAGTCCAAATTTCTGACCTTAAAATATCCATTATTCATTTCTGCCAATAATGCATTTCTTCCTGTATCTCCCACATCTATGGTTCGCAATGCAGACAGGCCCCAAGACAGAAGTCAAGCTGCCAGTGGAAAGCTTAACAAGCAGCCTTGCTGCCCTTTACTATCATATCAGTCCGATGTTTATTAAGAACTGTCACTATAAATTTACACTTATTCTACAGAAAAACAAAACAAAACAAACAAACAAACACCAACCCAAACCAAAATAAAAAGCGTTGCCTTTTTTTTTTTTTGCACTGAATGTTCCTAAATTGCTGAGATTAACATACTTCATCTTTCATCTCAAAAACTGCTCCCACACTTCTCCCATATAATGAAAAAGTCAATGTTAGCATTCAGCCTTCTCTCAAAACATCAGCATAGGGCATTTACATGCCATCAGCTTACTTCACTTTCCATCTGGCACACTAGAAACTGGCAGAAATCATCTCAAATACCTAACTACATTTGTTGAAAGGTTTCACACCCACATCTACACACTCTACCCCTGCAGACGTTGCACCATTGCACCGAATTGCAGTAACAGCAATGTTGTATCTTGTCACCCACCATCACCAGCAATGACAGCTAGATGCTCAGGCTCCAGCTAGAGCTAGACTTGAGGTTTGAGAACATATTAATTTCCACCAAATCTGAATTCGGGGCACAGAAATTTGAAACCACTTCAGAATTAACTGATACCATCACATAGAACCCAACACTGCAAGTCAGGGTTTTACAAGTCACTTGACATCACAAATACTTACCTCTAATTTTCCTAACAAAACGGACAAACTCGCAATACTTGTCTGCAACACTAACAGTTAAGTCTATTATTACTTTTGTCTAATGAGTATTAAACATAATCCAACAGGGCTTGATACCACAAGGATCCAGATTTTTCTATCAGTTCAGATTACAAGACTAAATTTAAACAGGCTCAAAGTACCAAGGAAAAAGTTACATAAATACAGATGGGATTTTACTAAGTTCTTATCTCCCTGCCAACAGGGAATTAGCAATGTCTACAGAAAACAGCTGATGACTCCATTCTAGATGTTCTACTTAGGGGTTTCGAATTTCTATTCATGTGCTCGACTGAAGTTGGTCCAAGCCAGTATTATTTAATAGTCTTCAACTTCAACAATATGGAAAGAGTCTGGACACTTGCAAATTGTTACAGCCTGCCTTAGGGTAAGTCTTCTCCATGTTAATGAGAAGATTCATATGCTTTGCCAACTGAAGTGACTTATCCACATATTTTTCACAGAAAAAAAAATAGTTATTTAACCACATATTTGGTGGAGTAAAATAAACCAGTATGAACTGATCACTAATATGAACATAAAAATCTCACTGCACAAATAGTGCATGTACTTTGTAAATCCTTTCTTTGAGATGGTGACTTAATTGGTTTGATAAACAAGATGTACAGACTAACACTTAGCATGTTTGTCCATTTACTGATAGACTTAAAAATTAGTCATCAAAAAACGTCCCATCCTACACTAATTTTTTGTTTTGGTAAGTTAGAAGTAAGATAGACATTGTAACAGGAAGATTTATAAGCCCGAACACAAATGTAACACTAACAAGGCCTCATATCTCAAAAAATTGCTGGTTTTAGGTATCCAAAAGAACAGCAGACACTGCATTATTTCATAAATGCACTGACCTTGATTCTGCTTAACCACAGAAGCAAGGTTATTAGGACAAGAAAAAAAGGGGAGAGTGAGTATATATGCTGCAACCACAAAGCAAATCAGAAAGACAGCTGTATCATAACTGTGCCTTTGTTTAACCTCCTTTCCCTACCACTCACCTTGGCCAATATTAGATATGAAACAAGAAAATTATCAAATAGCTCTTGGATGAGCATTTGAAAAATTTAGGGCATGAGAGTTTGACGACCACTAATTCTTCAATAACTGTGGAGGTGTTTTGTTTTTGTTTTTAAAGTGAACTTTTCCTGGATATTTTGGATACCTAAGGCATACCCCAAACCAAGGCTCTTACTTCCATTCCCTCAGAATCCCTTATTTCTTCCACTCATCCCAAACTGCATTCCTTTGCACTTAACAGGCATGTTGAAAGACAACCTCGGTCTCTCCATATCTAACCCAATGACCTGTGCATCTTGCTAAATGCAAGCTTTTCTTCCAACACCAAGAAATTCCAGTCAAGGCTTTTTTTGTGTGTGTACTCAAGCACGTACACATTTTACCCCTTCTTCCCACACAAGTCAGCCAGCCAGGGCAGACTGCCATTCCCTGTGGGCACTATCACTTAAGCCTACTTAGGAGCAGCACTAAATTAAGCCTCCAGACATTGGGTTCTGGTGCATGTACAGTTCAGCGCACCTAAGCCACATCCAAAGAGAACCACTTAGCATCTATGCCCCCCTCTCTCAGACCTCTGCAGTGGAAGACATCATGAGAGATGCCACTGAGAGACATATATTTTAAGGTATCCGTACACATCACATTTATTTTTATTTATACGCACACACACATACTTTGTAAGTTCCTCAGAGACACATGAACACCAAAGAAAAGTAACTTTTTCCTTTATTTCTTACCTTATATTCTTCAATCTCTTCCTCATCAGCTTCTCCCTCATCTGCATACTTGCGTTTTGCATTTGGTGCAGAAGTATCATAAGCAGCCCTATAAACATCCAAAAAACCTCCTCATATAAAAGTTTCTTTCTCCAGAGAGAACACTTCAGAAATCTCTGATAATCTGCCCTGACTATATCTCTATTACAAGTTTGAAATTATTTTGAAACTTCCTACAGGAGAAGTCACTCCTCTCCATATGTTTGAGACCAGCACAACCGCTTAAAGACAGTACTCCTGAAAACAGGTATCTTGTTTCCATTTTTCTGTTCTAAAAGGTATAGCTTTATTTTAACCAAAGTAGCACATATACAAGATTAAGCCTGCCCACACTAGAAAATTACTTTTACACGTGAGAATTAATAAGCACTAGGTACTTTATCCTAGACAAGTCTATCATTCCGTAAGAACTTTTAAACTAAATTGCCCTGTAACTGCTCTTAGCAAAAGTATAAGGGCTCTAGGACAATGCAGATGGTGTTCTCTGCACTCACACTGCAGTTTTGCTCCACAGTAGCTTTTTAACATAGAAAGTAAAAGTTAGCCTTGATTTCCAAACTGCTACTAGAAGCGAGTGACTAAACACTGCTCACCTTAGTCAAAGTTTAGATTTGAGTAATTAGAGCATCTTATTTCACCAAAATTTTATGCTTTTAAACATGCAGGAAGATCTTATTTTGCTCTTTGGAGTACAACCTCATTCTATTTCAAAGGCTTGTATTACTATTAAAATCCCCTCACCTCTAACCCAAATTGCACACCGATACTGACCTACACGTTTCCCTGGTTTCAGCGATCTCCCGCTGGTCATCTTTACTGTTCAGCACGGCTCCGATGCTGTCCGCGTTTTCAGCCCCTAACTGAACAACGGGCAAGGCAAACTCAAACCACCGTTACCAGGGATTAAAACCCACCCAAGCAGTGACAGCCCACCAGGGAGATGAATCTTCAAACTGGACGCACCCCTCCAACCAGCCAGGCCCACCGGCGGCCTCCGCCAGCGGCCATCTCACCGCTTCCCTCTACCGGGCACCTCTCCCCCGTTACCGGGCGGGCAGCCGCCATCAAGCCCCCCCACCGTCAGCGGGACCGTTGCCCCTGAGGCAGCGCGCGCCCGCCTCCCGCCTCCCCGCGGAGAAGGGGCGGGGGCTCACGCGTTCGAACCCCCCAACACACACACACACACACACACACACACACACACACACCCCGGCCCGGCCCGGCCTCGCCTCACGGTCCCCCCCGCCCCGTCCCTCCCCGCTACCTGCTGCGCCAGGAGCTGCCGCCGGAGCTTCTGCCGCTCCCGGATCTCCTGCAGGCGGCTGTTCATCGCCCCGACGCCGCCGCCGCCGCCCCCGCTTCGCCCGGCTCCCGCCGCCGCGTCACTTCCGGCCCCACTTCCCCCGGGGCGGCGGCGGCGATGAGGGAAATCCCATTTCCTGACAGAAATCCCATTTCCAGGCTCACCAGGAGTCACGGAGCGGACTCCTTACCTGTTTTAATGCAACTGAAGTGTTTTTCAAAGGTGGAAGTTAGATTTATTTTCACTCGCCCACTGCAATACAAGTTTCATCACTTAGGCCGGCCACCAGCCGGGCAAAATCCCCGGAGAGCTCTTTGCAGCGAGATTTACTCCCCAGGGTACCTCACAGCTGTGACCGCTTAACTGCAGCTTGTTGCATTTTGGGGGCCCTTACCTTAGTTTGATGTGCAGCCATTTCTCCTTCTCTCGAGGCCAGAATGGTCTACGCATCTCCCCCCAGTCCATCCTTCCCATCCAATTCCAATAACCAACGTAGGTTAACCTTTATGTTTTGCCTAGATCTGATTGTTTAAAAAGTTCCAGCTGGAGTTCTGCAAAATCTTTGAAGTGTATTTCATCTGATTTTTTTGGTCTCTTTCTTGCTTCCTCCTGTCCCCCTCTCATTTTATTGTCCGTCTTTAAATGTGTGCAATTTATATTGCATGCCAGTTCTCATTCTGACAGCTATTCATACTACAAGAATGAAGACTGAAATAAAAGCCTGCAGTCTGGATTCAGAAGTTGTGCGATCCACTTCAGTTCCTAGCACTTCACAAAAGAATAAAGAAACATTACAAATTATCTCAGCAGTTATAATTAATGATAATGTTTGCTTTTCTGAAATAAACTTGTTTTTCCTATAATTGTCAGACCCAAAGATCTGGACAAGTAGGGCTGAAAAGCGACATTCAGCTCTCTGTTATCTGCAGCACGGTGTTCTTCTGTTGGTACTTTAGTGCCAGATACCATCACACTTTTGTAATGCAAGCTGTTATCCTCTGTTGTTTTGTTTTGTTGTTTTTTGTTGGTGGTGGTGGTTTTTTTTTTTGTTTGGTTTGTTTTTTTTTTTTAATGTGGTATATATGGTATACACCTTAATGAAATTATGCAGGTCAAACTTAAAACTCAGAAAGTGCATAAGAGAAGGAAATTAGAGCAGTGCAGACTAATCCAGAAATAAACTATTTCCAGCTACTCACATTACTTGGTGACAGAACTTACTAGGAAAATTATGGAGCTTTTAAATGTTAAAAACCCAAAATACCAAGAGGTGATTTTTTATCTCCTTAGGAAATACATTACTAGTTATACTGTCCTATCTATGGAAATGTTATGGAAAAAGAAATGCTATCTCATACTACTGCATGTTTCTTCGATGCTGTTGGCTGTAATGAATACAGTAGAAGTCCCTGCATAGTAACAAAATCACTTCCTCCTGGATGTGATATAATGAAGATTGTGTGAGCCTGCACTCTGTTTTTAGAACTGGTTGCTAAGACGAACTAACCTTTACAAACACTAATGGCTATGAAAGATATTACGCTATATACATACACTTTTTCAAAATAAAAGGTTCGTATTTCTGCAGAGTGCTACTTGCCTTTCTTCTCTGTGTATGCTGTGGTTTTGGCTCTCTGAGCCTTGTATGCAGTCTGTGGTCAGTTTTCTTCTGTTAAGTATCAGGCCAAATTCTCCAGTCTGGAGCCAAGAGCTAGACACGCACATCTACTGTACCATTTTGCAATCTATAGGTTTGGGTTTGATCACCAATATTGGTGTTTTGATTACATCATGATTTTCTGTGGCCTTGAACCTTATCATGAAATCATCAAAAAAGAATGGAATCCTTTAATCCAGCCTCATATCCTGATGTCATCCTTGATGTGGTACCAAACCTACAAATATGCAGTGCTGGAAATGCATCAACCTCCCTGGGCAATCCATACCAGAGATTTGTGGTACTTACATTCAGATTTTTTTTTTTCCCCTAGTCTCCAGTCTAAACATTTCTTGCCGGAACTTACAGCCTCTGCTCCATATGGACAGCAAGATAAATGCATTTCATACTGTTTGCCATAAGGATGCAGCAGTTTTATTTGCTCCTTCTCTGCAAAAGCCCTTAGTGCCTGGCAAGTCTGGCATCATATTTCTTTTCACCTTGCTGCTCCGCACTTCCAGTCCTTTTGCCTCCTTGAATCTCATTTCCTCAGCTCCTCCGTGAATGGCTGTTCCCCAAACCAGGCATTCAGCTGCAGACGAAGCCCTTACGCTGTGTGAAACACTAACATAATGTGGTATGTGCTGTAGGCCACCAACCTGTTCAGGGATTTCCGTTCAGTCTTCCTTTTTTTTTGCTACTAATGACTTTGTTGAACTGCCTTCAATTCTGATCCATTATCTAGATTTTTTTCCTTCAGATTTATGAAGCCAATTGTTTCTCATCCTTTTTTATTTAACTGATTATTCCAGAGTACATTACCTTTCACTTCTCTTTACTGACCTGCATTCAATCTTTTTAATTATTTGTACTGTTGCGATAACTTTGAATTCAAATCCTGTCCTCCAGCATACTTGTACCTACTGCCAGCTTCAAGTATTTGTCTCCAAATGTAACCAGCAAAATTTCTATGCCACTTTGTTTAATCATTTATAGCATTAATAAAATGTTTATAAAATACAAACAAATAATGGTAGAATTTAACACCCATTTGGGACTTGTGTTATTCTGACATATATTCAAGTCTACTCCATTTAGAAAAAAACTGCTAACTTATTTTGTGTCATTAGGAGTGACTGTAAAAGTTACAGAGTTAGGCCCAAGCTGCTTAATTTATCACTGTTCTCTCACATTAATTATTCTTCACATCACAAACCTCAAAATAAATTATGCCAAATTAGATGCTCAATAAGTTAATAAATTAAAAGCACCAAATGGACTAAATAGATGAAATAAAGGAGAACTTTACCTCTTAACTCAAAACAGACAAACAGAAAACAGCATGGGCTAACATCACATTCTTCCTATTTCATGTCCCTCTTCCCCAGGCTTTTAGTCAAGTACCTAGATCTGCCTCTTTAAAAATACCTTTAAAGTTGATAACCTCAACTTCAGGGCCTATTTCGAATAAGTGATAGTATCCACAACACCCAGAGATTGTGGCTGCGCATGCTTTTCTACCTCTGCCTTAGGATGGATCCCTACAAGATGGCAAATCCGACTTAATGAGCATATTGCAAAAATACTACAACCATGATTCTATACAAACTCAGTGTAGCAGTTCAAATTTTGTTTAAAAATCTCATAAGAAGTAACTAGTAGCAGCAGTTTTCATTAGGCCAGTACTGCTTGTCCTTAGTAAGCCAACACAGCTGAAATAGAGCCCTCATAAACACACCACCGTACGCTCTGGATAATTTGACAGACATGTACTGCGATTTCACACTTCATCTAGATCAAATTTCATTGCCATTTGATCCAGTATTGCACATGTCCTTTGTAATGGACACGAAGCCTTGATGCTGCTCACAGAACGAGAGCTGCTACCTCTGGACCAGCTGATCACTGCCTCCTTACTAACCTGGAGGTGAACACTGAAAGGAATTTTGAAAGAGATTATTTAATTTCTCTGCTTTTGCATAGCATCATATTTCACTCTACTTTGTCAGGAGACTAAGTAACTTGCACACAAACATTTACAAAATTATAAAAATATTCCTAATTCCCCTACATGGAATAAACTCATTTAGTTTCTTAAATGTTCTGAGCAAAATATTGTTCTGGCTTCTTCAAGTAGTATCCAACATTGCTGGAAGAACAGCAGTATTGGAGTAGAGCTAGAGAAGCTTTTTGAACAAAAACGTTTTGCTGAAAAATGTGGCTGGGCCAAAAGAGCATTTTAAGACCTTGCATTGAATTTGTTAAATTGCTGGGAATTAAAATGATTCTGACTTCTAAAAATCCCTTTGACCAGCATGTTTTGTTCTAGAAGTGTCACAAACTACCAAAAATATAGACTATATCCTTAATTCAAGACATTCTATATACAGTTATTTAGACTGGACATCGGCAGCATTTCTTCACTGAGAGGGTGGTCAAACCCTGGACGAGGCTTCCCAGAGAGGTGGTCAATGCCCCGCGCCAGTCCGTGCTTAAGAGGCATTTGGACAATGCCCTTGACAACAGGATTTAACTTCTGGCCTGCTGTGAATTGGTCGGGCAGTTGGACTAGATGATTTTTGTGCACTGTCCCAGCTCACACGAGCCCACCTGCTGTTAAAAGCTCCACTGAAGTCACTGGGACTATTCACACAGAACAGACAATGCAATAGTATTAAATGTGAGTAAGGTCAGCACAGTATGACCCTAACTCATCTTCATTACTGTAGGATATTGTACATTTTTTTTCTGGAGCCATAATGACTTGTGTTTTGATATCTCTCACTACCAAGATTTAGATGCTAGGCATATGTGATTGCAGAGGTGCTACCTAGCATGCAATGGTCATCCACATAGCTTGCCAACAGTTGCATCCATATTTTAACAAAGAGATTAACATATTCTTTCTTTTGACAAATTCAGTCAATCATGGCAATTAAGTTGCCCTCCTTCTAAATTAGTAAAAAAATCAGCCAAAACAGTCCCCTGGGCCCCCAAGTCCCTCTTCACTTGGTGATCAAGCATTACTGGCTTCCCATCACGTTCAGAGAATGTGTTAAAATACAACTGGCTTTTTTACTGAAATGTCTGTGTAGTGTATATGCCTCAAAAAATAGAATGTGAAGAGGGGATGGGGTGCAGATTTACGTTGTATTGCATCTAGCCCTGTATTTACTCCTTCTCATTTTAACACTGCCCCCAGATTGGCCCCCCATCTCATTTTAACATGCCCTCTTAGTGAGACAGAAGCTAATCTCTAGTAATTATATGAACTTCAGTGATACTACTTGTTCTTACTCTGAGCTGAATTTGATCCACTCCCCTCCAGGGCAGTACAAATCTAATTACATGACATCTGCTGGCTTTATTAACATGAATTAAAGTGTTAAAGAAGTGTGAATTTGTTATGCTTTGAATAACAAAGGGACATATTCCATACACCCCAGTGTTCACTGACTTATAGACTTAACTCTATAAGCACTGAGATCAGAAAATATTATGCAACACTTTCATGCTTTCCCTATGTTTCTCAACACAAGATATTAACATCATACTGCCAGCTTTATCTTACAGTCAGAAATTGTGTCCTATCATGCTTGCAAAACAATCCCATACATTTTTATGTTTAAATACGGTACTTGAGCATATTTTTTGTGATTACAGTACTTTTCCTTTGTCTCAGAGCTGTTTTGCTTGTACTAAATAGCAATAAAGGTGACTAGATAATGATACTATGCAGAATATTACAGTATATGGTAACTTTGTATACTGAAAACCTCATATGTCTCAAGTCTTTGTACTCCAGAAAACTCATTCTTATCTATTAGCCCATGTATTCAGTACTTCTCCATTTTAAATTTGTTTCCAACGTTATTTAATGCTTTCCTGGATACCTCCATAACTAATTAGATGGAATATTTTGCATCAGCATGTTATTTGCACAGAATATTTAAAAACATATCCTTAAATTTATTGTTTATCCTCTTTTCCCAGTCTCCCATTTACTTATATGTTTTCCAGAGCATTTACAGTATTACCAGTTAACTGTGGCTTCTATGAATACTCCGTTTTTCAATATCTACATCTTAACGCTTTCTCGTTTAAGTTTATAGCATACTAAGTTAATCAACTCCTAGATTTGCCACTTATTTCTACATTCATGCAAGTTCACTCTCCATTTTTTTCCATGTGGCTGTGCAAGAAAAAGATTTGGCTGATCTTTTAACTCAGTTTGGATTATTTTGCAGCAAATGTGCAATCACAGCTTCAGAAACATCAGAAGTACAGACAGAAGGCAGAAAATAAATATGAAAAATGTCACTCCAGAAGATGGTTTGTAGTTAAATCCTAGAGAAAGAAGTTATTCTGCTACTTCTTACTTTTCATGAGTTCTAGGAAATTCAGAAGAAAGCTTGAGAAAGGAAAACCAATGTATACAGGAAAAAAAGTGGACATATGGACTATTCATGATCCAAACTGCAAGTCCATCTGGTACAGCTCCAAGCAGAAGTCACTTATTCAATTTCTAAGGGCAAAAAAAAAGTTCTGTTGAAACTAATAGGAAAACTCGGAGACCTGTTTCCAAAATAGGATAACAACCATAATAAAATAACCATTAAAGATTCTGAGATTTTATGATTAATAAACTTAGCATTACTTTTAGTTAATATAACTGGGTATTTGGTCTAGCAGGATTTAGTTACATGCTATTTGAATGTATTGAGTAAAATAACAATGTTTAAAAGTCTAAAGTACAAAAAATAGTGTGGACTGTAACTCAGTGTTTATTTACAAAACTAAATCGTGAGTTAAACAGATCAATCTAAGGGCAGGACAAGTCACTATATATCTTTTGTATAGCCATACCCATACCAAAAGTCTGTCGCTTTTCATAATCCAGTGGGTTTCATTTTAATTTTTAACTTTTAGTTGACAAATCATTATCCATTATCCCAGCCAAGATGACTAAATAAGTAAGTTTGGATGTGTAATTCCACATCGCCATTAGATTATCAAAAAAATAGCAATGGGGAAGTCATAACTAATGGGAAAAGAGGGATCAGAAGAGATAAGAAAGGGACACCAGTCAGAAGTCAAGAAAGAATAAGGGATGATTAAGCCAACAATGACGATTATAACAAAGCAGTTTGTTTTGCCAGTAGGTACAGAAGTGGATCTTGCCTTCTTTGCCCCCTTTCTTCATCCGTCACCCTTCCTGCCCTTCCCAAAGTTCCTGACATTTTCCACATTCTGTGGTGATGAAGGCGATCTCATTGCAGTCGTCTGTCACAGGGTCTGCACAATGCCAGTGTTGTTCTAACTACAAGAGTCATAGTTCAATAGTGCAAAGCCAGTTCTGATCCCATCTTGTACAGAATCTCCCTGCAATTGTAGACATTACCCTCACCCTATTTATTTTTAAGTGTATGTAGCTGCATTTAAAAATTTCAACTAAAATGTTGAAAGGAGGCACAAATAGCAAGTGCGTCTTTGTGCATCACTTAATATAAATCACTGTGAAATGGTTGCTCCAGCTCTGTATATATTTGTGAAAGAAAGGTAGGAACTACTGAGATTTGTATTTTTTTAAATAGTAATAATATGGGCAAACTAATGCTCGTATTCATAACACACAAAATCTATTCACTAACATGAGAGGACTCACTGATTTTGATGAAATTATTAACCAATACAGCCAACAGGGCATGGTTTGTAAACTTTCAACAATATCCCCTCCTTAACAGTGAAACTTTTCAACAAATTGAAATTGCAAATAAAACAAAAAATATTTTAAAATTAGTCCTAGTGCTTCCAATACAACCCCAAAAGAGAGCATACGAAGATCACGTATTATGAACATGTGCTGGTAACTTCTGAGATCTTTCAGTACGCTTCAGAGGTAAGAATTAACATTTCTTTAATCTCTTGTTGGTAGCAGAGCATTCAGTTCCTTCAGGTAAATATAAATCCCAGCCTCCTTAAGGCAAATAAAAATAAGTATAAACTGTTTTTTTTAGCTTCTCCTTCATTAAGCGTATGTGTTCCTTTAAAACCATACTGATATTGTCTACCCAAAATGATTACTAACGATAAGAGAATGCAGCTTCCAGGATGTCTTTCTCAAAAAAAAAAAAAAAAAAAAAATTTACTTGTATTATCTAGCCAATTCAAGTTGTTATGTTTTTATTTTTTTTCTTTTTAAATAGGTAGGACTAAATTTGGGTAATGTTGACCAAACCCAAACACCTATTTCAGTGGGGAGTCAAGAGTATGCAACACCAAGTGGAAGGGACATACGAATTTCTCCACAATAGTTCAGGTCTCTCTTTTAAATCTTGACAGAGAATTGTGACTGAAAATAAGAAACGGCAAAATCCTGCTTGCTAACTTTGTGAGACACTGTTTTCAAGTTCATATACAGTAAACTTCTCCAGTTGTATACAATGGTGAAATCTTTTAAAAAGTATATCTGTGAACCAATTAAAAATAATAGATGTAAACCAGACTTTTGGAAATATGTGAAATTCTTTACATTGTCAATTAGTCCAGCACTTGGAGATGGACAAAGACAAAACCTAAATAACAGTATGTGACGGTGAAATTGTATTTGATTCTTCTGTGCTTCTTTGAGAAAATGTGTATTGAAAGATGTTAATATGTAATTTTCTTGAAAAATATAGCCATATTTTTTATGTTAATGGAACGTTTTAAAGTCTTAAAAGTCGTATCTATTGGGTTATATTTTAAGAGTGCAGTGAAGAAACATATGGAGAAATTACAGATGTATAAACCAGATTTTTTTTTGTTTAAAATGGGTTGCCTCCAAAATATTTTGTTAAATAAATAAAAGATATTGGCCA